AGGCTAATTGTTTTAGGAAAGTGTTTGGTGTATGTGCCACTGAATACAGTATGTGCATTACTTTTTAATATGTGTAGCAGTTACAAATATATTCTTTAATATAAATCATTGCATTTCCCATTAACCCTATAATCTAGGTAATACTGATAAGAAAAGCGTTCAGGTTTGCTTATGAAATACAGACCAATGGACATCTGTATTGCCACAATGGAGTGTCTCATTCTGTGAGCTTGTATCAGCAAATGTCACTTTGTATTGAGGTTTCCTACCACCGCTATAAATCCTTTGGGGAAACAGGCCTTCACAGAGAAGTTTTATGGCACAGAGACTTCCCTTCTATTCTGCAGGGGGTATGCTGCTTAACACCGTGTTCGTGTGTCACAGTCCTTTTAACTGGCACAGTCCCAAAACTACCAGTATTTTTCTATTCAGCAGCATCCAGATGTTCCCTTACAGATGTTTTTATTTGATTTTTTTTACCTTTATTTAACCAGGATAGGTCTCATTGAGATTAAAAATCTATTTTTCAAGAGAGTCCTGGCCCAAGAATGGTAACAGCACAGTTACAGACAATTTTACAGTTACAGACGATTAAAAAAAAAGAAAAAAAACACAATCACAACACAGTCATACACCAAGATTAGCCAAAGCATTTACAGACACAGCGGCCTGCTTCAAGGTCAGTTAAAGTTGCTTTGAGTATGTTTAATGAGACCAGCTCTCTGAGTTTCAGCTCAGTTTGAAGCAGGTTCCAAGCTTGAGGGGCAGCGTAACAGAACGCTCTTTTCCCCAGTTCAGTACGGACCTTTGGTACAGTTAAAAGGAAAAAGTTCTCGGAGCGAAGCCGATAGGATCCTGTGCATGTTCTGTTTATGTACATCCTTAGATAAGGGGGAAGAGCACCAAGAATAGCCTTATATATAAGGATGTGCCAATGTTTCAGTCTACGCGTGGTCAGGGAAGACCATCCAACACGAGTGTATAGATTGCAGTGGTGCGTCAAGGTTTTGAGGTTTGTGATGAATCTCAGTGCACCGTGGTAGACGGTATCCAGCGAGTGAAGGCACTGAGAAGATGCATTCATATAAACCACATCTCCATAATCCAGCACAGACAGAAACGTTGCAGACACTAATCTCTTTTTGGCCTCATATGAAAAACAGGACTTGTTTCTAAAGAAAAAACCTAATTTTATTCTGAATTTTTTTCAAGAGTTCCCCAATGTGTGGTTTAAAAGAAAGCAAATTGTCAATTATAATTCCAAGATACTTATACTGCAACACAGATTCAATCTCCGACCCCTGCAAGGTGGTGATAGGAGGAAGGTTCAAGACCTTGGGTTTTGCTTTCGAGAACATCATTAGCTTTGTCTTGGCAGCATTTAAAACAAGTTTCAAATCACTCATATTGGATTGTACAATGTTAAAAGCATTCTGGAGCTGACAAAGAGCCTGCTTCGGGGTGGACGCAGAACAATAAATAACTGTATCATCGGCATAAAAATGCAAATTTGCATTCAAAACATTGTTATTAAGACTGTTAAAGTAAATTATAAATAACAATGGTCCGAAAACAGATCCCTGTGGCACACCCTTGGATACCTGAAGAGATGTTGAAGTTAAGCCTTTTGCCCGCACACACTGTGATCTGCATGATAGATAGTTCTGGAACCAACAGACAGCCTTACCTGAAAGACCGATACTAACGAGTCTTTGTGACAGTAAGGCATGATCAACTGTATCAAAAGCCTTTGACAAGTCAATAAAAAGTGCTGTGCAATGCTCTCTATTGTCTAATAAGTAAATAACATTTACTACTTTTAAGGCAGCTGTTGTAGTGCTGTGTTTTTTCCTAAAACCAGATTGAAAGATAACATATTATTTGTTGAAATTGACCAGTGATTCCAGCACTTTATTTAAAACACATCATGGGGTCACCCCCTTTTAACAATGGGAGAACAAAAGCAGATTTCCAAATAAGGGGAATTTCGTTTGTCTCCAAGGACAGATTAAAAAGATAAGCCAAGGGCAAAGCTATAAAATCAGCTGCTAACTTTAAAAAGTACGGCTCCAGGTTGTCAGGACCTGCTGATTTTCTTGGTTCCAAACTTTTCAGGGCTTTATGCACCTCTGAGACTGTTACTGGAATAAAATTAAGCATTTCTGCCTTATCAGAGATTTGAACAGAGTCCTCCTTCACAATGCAATGTGGAAGATCTATAACATTTTTGTTTCCAGCTAATGATTTAATAGTTTGTAATGTTCTGATAAGACAGGAAACTTTGAATGTATGCTGGTAGGAAGCAAATATACAATATATACTATTTCAAATGTTTTAATGTTTTTTTTAGTGTCTCTAAAATGCAGTGGCATTGGGGGACACTGCTTTAAATTAAAGTCCTGCATTCAAATCTTACTCAATTAGAAGAAAAAAGAATAAGCATTAAAGTTACTCATTATGTAGAATGGTCCATTTCAGTTTCATATAAATTATAGTACTGGATTATGTTGTAATGATGAGTATATCACTTTAATGTTGTAACATGTTATTGTTGGGATTATTATATTAAGTGAATTTACTGCTGGGTTTCCTAACCTACAATGAATCATATTTCACTTGATTTTTTTTAAATCAAGAGTGAAAATAAGCCCAGTAACTAGAAGCTAAAGTTGTTAAATAAATGTAGAGAATTAATCATTGTAACAGAAAAGTATTTTGCTGACTTACTTACTTTAATGATATCATTGTGTGATTCTTACTTGCTAATATGTATCTCTATTTAGCTTTCACGTCTTTGCTAAGCTTGGGAAAAGTCCTTATTAAGAAGATTTTTGAGGCGATGTTGTTATTTACATGCTATGTGCACCAACAGTATGACCTTCATCTTCTGTTGAACTGAGAACATCCTGATACTGCCTCCACAACTTCAAGAATACTCTTTTCATTATCGCCAAGCTTGACTCCCCTTTCCTCCTCTCTCTGTTTAAATATTAAACCTGAACTCTACTCTTCGTCCTTCACTCTGCAGACTGTATGCTCTCTGTATGACTGATTGACTTTTCTTGCAAGAAATAAAATATGACAAAGACAGCTGAATGGTTTGATTCTTCATCCACATTTCATGAATGAAAATGCCACCACAGTACTGCATCATTTCCTTGTAACATATCAAATGTTAAATGTTACTGTGGGGAACACTTCTGTAGCAATGGAGAGTCAGGACTCAGAGAGACACGAGGAGAGCTGGAGCTTTGATGGCAAACACTGGTGGTTTATTTGGAGTTACGGCCGGAGAATTGACAAAACAGGTGGTGTGTCACGAGTTGACACAGCGGTTGCCAAACCAATTCTGAAGAACTCTTCTGCAGCTCGAGGTTTTAACTAGTTCGGAGTGTAATAATCAACATTCTTTATTAGTGAGACTAAACAATTATGGACCCTGAATCTAACTATAGCTCTCGTCCATAGAAAAGAATGTGCACCAGGGAACCTACTACGTCCCTGAACAATAAACTACCTCATGGCGGCTTGTGCTCTGTCATAGACTGGCAACAACAATGCGCCCAAGCTGCTCCTCCTTAAAAGAGATAGCAGCAATACCCAAGGCCGTAGACCTATGCCATGGGAAAGGAGCCAGTGAGAGGATAAAATTATGAACTGTGTCAAAGGTTGAATACATAAGCAAATTATTCCCTAACAGTTACTACTTACTTAAAGAAAATTAAAGTAAATGTGAAATATTTTCATAAACTTTAAGTGGAAAAGAAGTATAAGGTTCAAGTACAATTATAGGTAAAAATTGTACAGCACTTCCATTAATTTAGTACATTTAGTTACTTTTGACTATTAAACAATGTACAATTTAATAATGATATACAGCATTTGGAAAAGACTACATTTAAATACTTTAAATGAATTTTGCTTAGAATAGATTTGAACTTTTATTGTAACATTTTGAATGCAGGACTTAGTTGAGTTGTGCATTTTAGATAGAAAGCAAAATAGCTGAATACCTCTTCCAAACCACTAACATACAGAGATGGGAGAAGTACTCAGATCTTGTACTTGTGTAAAAGTAGAAGTACTGTAAGAATACTCTGATAGAAGTCAAGGTTGTGCATTCAAAATGTTACTCAAGTAAAAGTACAACAGAATAAGTATCAAAATATACTTAAAGTACCAAAAGTTAAACTACTCATTATGCAAATGGTTCATTTCAGAATAATATGTTTTGATTCTATTATTGATGCATTAAAGTGTTATCAAAGCTGGTAAAGGTGCAGCTAGTAATTGCTTTGTACACTGCAGGGTTGCTTGTGAATGTTAATCCAGGTGAAACTAAAGTCCTATTTAAGAGTTGATTATATTTCACACCATTAATCCAAGTCTTTAAAGTAACTAAAGGTACAAAATAAATGTAGTGGAGTAAAAGTACACAATCTACCTCTGAATTGTAGTGAAGTAGAAATACAAAGTACCATAAAATGGAAATACTCAAGTAAAGTACAAGTCCCTCAAAACTGTACTTAGGTTTCAAGGTTTCAAGGCTTTTATTGTCCTTTGTGCATAGCTACAGTGTAGTTATGACAATTACATTCTTCACAATAAAACTGATAAAATAGTACAGGTTAATACAATAAAATATATTATAATAGAAAGTGCAGAATAGTCTATAGTAATTGGAATATTGATATGAGTTGCAAACAGATGAATGTTATGGATGTTCTTTCAAAATTGCAGGTGTTTAACAGTCTACTTGAGTAAATGTACTTAGTTACTTCCCACCTCTACTAACATGCAACAGCATTTTGGCGATAAGTTGTTGTTATGAAGCAGACACAATTCTGCATGCAAGATAATAACAGTTAGAGGTTATTTCATTAAGGACTGGCGAGCATTTGCTGTAATAAGAGAGTGAAGAAGCATCACTGCCTGAGTGAACACACTGTAACAGAGCAGTGTGTCCACCTGCATGCTGCTCTCCTTCCTGTGCTGCTGCTGCTCGGTGCGTTGCTCTGAAGTATGTTTGCTCGAAACTGGGAAAGTCGCCCAGTCCTCGCCTGTAGGTTGAACTACACCTGGGGGACAGCCTGGGATAACCACTCCACAACAATGCAGCGAAAGATTTCGCCAGTGAAAACTTCGACAGAGTAAATGCTGTTCCAGTATTTTGTTAGATGTATCTTTTTATAATTCAGTGAGTTCACAGGGATCTCTTTGTTTCAGCTAGCGACACGTTAGCTGCTTCCGGAAAACAACCTTCACACAGGTAAGGCGAGTTTCGGTCTCCTTATGAGCCAAATATGTCTTTCTTTGAGAACTAACACCACCTAAAGCTGCTTCACTCTTGTATGTGTATTCAAACCTTGTGTTGTATGGTTAAATATAGTTGTATTAAGGCAGGTATTCACTCAGAAAGTGAGTTTGAAGGTGTGTAGCTGTTAGCGGTGTAGGCTGAAGGTGAAGCCATGGCTGCATGTGGTCCACCTGCCTGATACCTGTGAAGGTTACCTTTATTACCTCTTCTGTCATCTGGATCTGTCACATCGTGCTGTTGTGATTAGGACCAAAGCAGCAGACATGGGCTGACAACAGGGGGGGGGGGAGTGAGTTATTTATGGTCCCAGTGACAACACACATCAGGCAGGGCAGGAAAGTGAGGGAACATGTCCTTGTTGCTGTTATTGAGCAGCTTTTCATAAAGTGGTAAATGGATTTTGAAATGGGTATCGTCACCATCAGTGATGGAAAGTCACAACCTTCATTTACTCAAGTGGCTTTTTGTATGCACCTCACTCCATGTAAATCTTATTTATACGTCAGTGAAATACTGTAGCCTACTTTTTACCCTAACACACAACACTAGTGTTATCTGATGGCAATTGCTACTGTTAATTATTTAACATACAAAATGTCAGTTAATCAAATATGATTTGATAAGCCGATAAATTGATCCCTAGATGGGACATTTAGGAGATAGAATATATACTATATACAATTGATAGCAGCACATTTAGTAAACATAAAACAGTATACTGACTGATATATTATATGGTTGGTTTTGTAATAGTATTAGTACTTTTTGTCTGTATAATATGGAAATATAATGTAGTCATATAGAAGAATACTAAATACGATATTACAGCAATACCATATGTAGTATAGCAACATCTACATCAACATATTTTATAAATTAGATGCATTGGTATTTGGAAGAGTTACAACTAATTATCTTGACAACTATAATGTTGCAATCTTACATAACCCATTCTTTTATGGATAATATGATAATTCATATTGTCCATATTTAGTGATTATGTACAGCTACGCAGTTCAAAAATATTTTCTTTACAGTAGATTTCAACAAGGGTAAACCAACTTCACCTCTTGTAATATTTCAATCAAGTTACAGTATTAATGTTTAACTTAAAGTATTATTGTGTATGTGATATGTCTGCAGTAGCTGTTGCTAGCTTTAAAGACGAGTTGTTGTGGGGAAAAAGTAATACAATGTGAAGGTCACTATGTACTTTTTGTCCTGTTTGGTACATCAAGATCCAATCCAGCCTGGTTTGACCATTTCTATTTTTGAGCTAACTCAATCATCAGCTGAGTAATTACACTTGTTTCTGTTTGCATTGGTTGGTCCAGTGAATGGCGCTAAATGACGAAGGCTTTTGTTGAGGAATCACTGTTACCTTCTGCCCTTCAAGCTGAGTACAAAGGAAACACAGATGCTGATGATAAGTTAAGGCCATGGGTGGTGTTTGTTTGGTATGTACAGGCAGGCTGTCGTACAGTAGGAGGCTCAGTCGCCCTGTGAACATAAGCTTAACCTCGATGTGTGACATCTCTGGGAGACACTGGTACCACGTGTGGGTCTGCATGAGGCTGAGAATACAACTGGGGCGGTTATATAAAAAACTGGAACGAAGTTGCATTGGGAAATAATTTGGTGAGCGATGTTTTTATTGCCACTCAGATGATTTGTTTTGTTGATTATTTCAGATATGCAATGCAAATATTGGTCATTCTGTTGAAAGCAGGAAGCTTTGCATGGTGTTGCCATAGCAATCACATAATATTCAAACAGAGCTTAAACACATGAAACAATTGTATATTATTATATTACTGATAGACACTCTAATGATAAGTATTGTGTAACTTTTTAATCTCAGACGTGTTGGAGCTTTCCATACCTAATTGAGGATTAAGAGTCATTCACCTCTTAGATCTATTTTTTCCATTACATGTGCTCTATTATATTGTAAGTACCAGACATAGTTGTAAGGCACAGGTAGACGCGACACACCTCCTTTCACATGGACTCATGGAGAAATTATTTGTCTATAGCGTGGCTTCACCTGCGCTCACTGCGGGTGTGGCAGCCCATGTGACTCACTCACACCGACCATCAGAGCGAGTGATTCGGCTCAGCTTTAAAGGAACGCCACCTCTGGTAATCCTGTGGGAGACTGGAGGACGCTGTTGGGAAACAGACACTTCCCCCGCGAAAGCTTACACTGTCACATGATTACAAGACATTTGATTTGGATAAGGTACCTCGTTAAGGCTGGCTGTGCTTTGGTTGGCTCTAAACCTGTAAAAACATTTTTCACCGTGTCTATTGTAAAGCTGTCTTGTGTTTTAAGCTCCACAAACATGGGCTTTAACTGTAGTATAAAATGTTTAAGTGTGGGATTTCTGTGAAATAATGTCCTAGCTCTAGTGCAGGATTAGTATAAGTACACATACTTGTGATGTTGACGTTGATTAATGGAGATGTTGATGCAAACTTTCTCAAATAAACTGAAGACTAAAGGATTTTTTATTGAAAATAGTAGATGATTGGAACCCACTTACAATCTTCTAGGGCTGAGTAATTATTATTTTCTTTATTGCTAACACATTAATTTGTTTCATTAACCAGTAACTTGTTCAGTCTAGTCAAAAATAATAAACAAACATCCTAAGGTGATGTCTTTGCTCATTAGATGTCCTGGTATCTCTAAACAACACTCAAAAACACAAGTATATTCAGTTTAGAGTTGCAACAGTTCCTTGATTGATCAAGTTGTCTGTAAATTATTTTCTAAATTAGTCATTCGGTCTAATTTCCGAAACATTTAGAAAATTCACAAGGTTTCTGACCAACAGTCCAAAACTCCAAAATATTCACTTTGTAATGATACAAAATGAAGAAAAGCAGCCAAACTCACATTTAAATGCTGCTAATAGTTAATGGAGTAATCAATTATTCGACTAATCAGGTTATCGACTAATCCTTACAGAGTCTCCGTTTCACATGTAGGATCTCAAGAGAGACGGGCACCTTTTATTGATGTCATGCTGTATCCTTGAGGAATACGGTGATATTTACTGCTGTGTCAGTGATGTATAAGTGGACAGTCAGTGATAGATGGTTCAGTGGCTGCCACCTTCAGATACAATGAGCAGGAGGGGACCAGTAATCTCCAGGGTCGCTGTACGTCTTCCTGTGGAGATGACCTCTGCTCTAATGAAGACATGCCTCAACCTCGCTGAAACCCATTGGATGCTCTCTGTGGCCAGATGTGCACGACACTTAATCCAAAAGCAAATAATACACCTTAGGTATGAAGAGATATGGAACTGGGAATGTGTTATTGACAAGAGAACGAGCTTTACTATTTGCAGCATTGTGTGTTTAATGTATTAATAATAATAATAATAATACATGTTATTTATATAGCACTTTTCCTGGTGCTCAAAGCGCTTTACAAGCAAGTAAAGAAGAAAAATATCAACAAAAGTAAAATTTGCTAAGCTAGGTGGATGGGGGGCGAGTGGTTAGTGGATTAGATGTATTTGTATCACTTTTTTCACATTCTTGAACTAAGGCTGCAAGATATATCGGTTTTATTCGCGCAAAAAAAAACGCAATATCAGCATGCGCGATAAACACAAATACTGCACTAAGTTGTTTTTTTTCTTTAAATATAGTTGAAAGTGAGTAAAGAGAGTAAAGTGTAAAACTGCTCTTTAAAGTGCAGTTATCATTCATTTTGAAATGCTTTTTGTGTTAGGTTCAATGTTCAATTTGTTCAGTTAACTATTATTGACATAATTTCCTTACTTTTTTAAATAAACAGGCACTTTGTTGTATTTGAGTTGTCAACTGAAAGCAGCAAAAAGGCAGAACTGAATACACTTTAATATCAGTTTGTTTTTTATCGCAAATGATATCCTTTTTCGCGATATTCAATAAAGTTTTTGCATATTTTCCACATATCATGCCGCCCTGTCTTGTGGTTTCAAAATAATTGGAGAACAGCCTGGTTCGTACTGCGCTTCCTTCTCCGTGCTACAGGATCCATGACCCCTATCGGTTACAGGACGAGGTATCACTTATGCAAAGTGAAGACAAAGAGAGAAAGAAGGCCAGTGTGACCTCAGCCAGAGTGCACGCATGTGGAAAATGTGTGCACAAATATTAGTAATGGGTCCTGTGTGTTGGCCATCAGTCAGTCAGCTATTGAGAGTACTTCACCTGGAGTAGTGCAACATCAGCAGTCTGAGCCACCAACCCCCCCACACACACACACACACACACACACACACACACACACACACACACACACACACACACACACACACACACACACACACACACACACACACACACACACACACACACACACACACACACACACACACACACACACACACACACACACACACTCACGAAGGAACACTCTCCTCTCACTCTGCCTAGTTACACCAATTCCCCTCTGCATTCCTTACAGCGGTGCAGCCGGAGCTCACACACATCCATGCTCATGCACACAGATATGCGGCGGCACACACAGGCAAGCACACGCACTCATACACACAGACATTATTCAGACGGTGTGCTGCTGGAGAGGCAGGGCTCTGGTTTCATTCAGGCTTCAGGCAGCTGGGAGGTTAGAGTCTTGTGTTTGCGTGCAGCGGCTACTGGGTGCTTGACAACCAAGATATCAGCTCGGTGAGTTGCTCTGAGGCAATAACGCTGAAGATAAAGGAGCCTTTTTGTGCCTGAACTCTTGGAAACTAAAGGTAGTGAGTTCATTGTGGTGGCTTATTTTTCTCTTATGTAGATGTGGTAATGTGCATGGGAACAGTTTTCCGTACTCCTTTTGTGTTTTTAGGATACATTTTCAGGTTATATTTGATGCTGTTTTGTTCTTTTCTGTGCCACTTCTCTCAGATACCATGAAGTCTTTATAAATGAAGCCTGTGAAACTACTTACTTATTTCTTACAAAAGCCATTTATAACAACTGAAATGGCACGTTTTGCTTCTAATCTTAACAAGCAGTTGAACAAAAGTTTTCTCTTTCAATTTAATTTCTTTTAAAATCCCAACACATGCTGTTTGAAAGGATGCAGTTTATTATACAGGGTAGATTTTATATGATCTACTTTAACGTATTTGGTGGAGGTTATAATTCGTTTTTTAATTAATACATTTGTTCTTATGTGGAGGGCTGGGTTTAAAGTTTCTCCAAAGAATGCGATCCTAATCAGCCCTCTCCTTATGAGAGAATTAAAGGAGATTAGGAGCTCCACAAAGGGATGGAGACCACTGCCGATTGGGTGCAAGGGGTCATTAGTGATGGGGGTTGCATTTCTGCCCAGTTCATTCAGAATTCGTACTCTCGTGTAGTGCCATGCCTTTGTTCCTTCCCATTAGCTGGGGTTTGACTTTAGTTTGTGTTCTCTTGCCTCATTTCACACAGTTTAGCCATTTTCACTGTGGAGCACGAGAAATGCGAATTCTTTTTGTCCCTCAGGAAACTAGCTGAGAGGAAGCAGCTGCGGCTTGCTGCCATATTGCTGCTGCTCTGTGGATTTGTCATTTCCTGTGGAGCTTGCAGGGTCACGTAAGAATAATCCAACTTCTACAAAAGACTTGACAGTGTTTCTCTCTCTACAGAAAATCTAAATGAAGACATGGAGATAACATTGTCGACTCTGGATCATCATCACGTTTGAATGGATTGTATATCTGGACGGGCAGACTTATGACTGGACACGGACAGTTTTTAAGGAGATAAGAGAAGCACAACATTTCCAGAGAGCTTGGTACAGATCTTCTTCCGCCAATGGCTACAACAGAAGCTAAAGTAGCCGGCAGCAGTAGCGCTGCAGGTCTGTCATGGGCGAGAGTGTGTAAGGAGTGCGGGCAGCAGCACGAGGGCTCGGACTGCCACCTGTATGAGTATCAGGACGAGGTGGACGATGAACTGGTTTGCCACATCTGCCTGCAGCCCCTCCTCAGACCTATGGACACCCCTTGTGGTCACACATACTGCTTTCACTGTCTGAGTAACTTCTTGAAGGAGCAGGACTTCTGCCCCGTGGACCGCCAGCGGCTGCAGTTACATCAGTGCCGTCCCTCCAGTCTGCTGGTCAGGAACCTGCTGGACAAGCTGACGGTGATGTGTCCCCACTCTGCAGAGTGTCAGCTGAAGATGCAGCGCTGCGAGCTGCAGCCGCACCTGCACAACAGGTAAGACCCTGGGCGGGACGCTGAGGGGTCGAGACAGCAGTGTTATTGGATATGATGAAGCCTTAACCTGTCTCATTGAATGGTCACAGTGTGTGAGACGGAAACACAATAATTATGTTCCCTGTCTTTGTCAAACACAACAGGGTTTTCATTCAATCATGAGCATCCCTACTATTTAATGTAATCCTGCTTGTAAATACTACTTTTGAACCTTCGGTAACCCTTGTAATAGCTGCAATTTGCTGCAATATAGTAACCTTGCCATGAGCAAAAGTGTTGTATGCTGCAGAAGGGAAAAATACACTCTCTTAATACAATATTTATTGTTTTATACACCATGAATGTAATACATGGATAAGAGGGGTATATAATACATCAGTATAGTTGGTTCTGGATTTCATAAATATGTCATGAAGTACAGAGAGACTTTAAGCAGGGATTTGAGGCACAGGTTCAAATGAAGGCCAAGGCGTATCAGGGATTACATCTGAAGAGTTGTATATTACATTTAGAATATATATTATAGAGCAAGGTTGTGGGCATATAAACAACAGAGTGAGCACAGAGTAATAATTCATCATATGACAACGACCTAATTCCTTCTAGAGTTGTATTACATTGCCTTTAAGCCATGGTGTTGTTAAACTGAGCCTTCCCACTATCTTCTGGAAACAAATCCTATTGTGGAAGAGTTTGACGTTTTTTCTGGAAATTGTTTTTCCTTTTTTAAATTAAACGCAAAGATTGCTATCGCAACCATATCTCTCAATTTAATATAAAGCTACAGCTGCTTAGCTTAGCATACAGACTAAAACGTGGGGGAAACATGCACCTTAGTTTGGATTGCCTGCCTACCTGCAAAGTTCACTGATTGAGACTTATGTCTTGTTGGTTTGAACTTGAGGTATAAAATCAGAAATGTCAGAGTGGCATTAGGATATCAGCCAAAACAATGTATTTTTCTATATGTCAAACTATTCCTTAGACTTGATGCATTTTATTGTAAGGCCTATTAAACCCAAATACATTTACTGAGCGCTTGCATCCCCACACAAAGTATAACAAGTGTAAGTCATGCCTAAAGAATGCTTACTACTGCTCAGGAATGAAAAATAACTGTCCCCACTGTTTAGTTTCTCCTCTTTATGGCCTTTTAAAGGCGGTGTTTCCCCCTCTCAAAGCTCCTGTTAGCTCAGTCCCTCTATGAACACACACACTTCTAATTATGGAGCTCGAGGCAAAGTGCAGGTCAGTCGTCTTGTTTTTCACATGGCCAGTGTGGTGCTTATCATCCTGGTGGTCAGCCATGACGTGGTCAGTTGCGGGAGGCAGATAGTCCTGCTGCAGCTGCTCTGTGCAAACAATGAGGAGACAAAGTTCAGTCCAGCTCTCTGACTGACTTAATCAGACTCAACCTGTCTCACAGACACTCTGCAATGCAGTAAAATCGGCTGCTCATCTGCATAGTGCTTCTATTCTGAGCCCAGTACATAAATAGTCCTGTCTTTTGTCATCTCAAAACACTTTTGATAATGATCTTTCTCTCTTCTCTGTGTTCAATCCATTCTACCACTTCTTGTTAACATCAAACATTTAATAACATACCCTTCAAATCATCATAAAGATTGTGTTGTTTCTAAGAGAGTAAACCACTGGTCAATCATCAGCCATCATTGTCTTTACTTGTTTCCTCCTTTGCGCCTGTTTTCCCCAGATGTCCTGTTTTTAGAAGACTGAGGGAGGAAGCAGAGAAGAGGAAGAGGCCCTCGTGGAACGAGCTAAAAGGACGTAAGAGTGACGGGGAGTCGTCTGCTGACGCTAAACATTCAGCAACACTTTCCCAAAACCCCACCAGAGATCAGCCTGAGCCGGGGCTCATAAATCCTGCCTATGAAGAAAGTGAGGATGGTATGGGATCATTTTATCATACTAACAACAAAACACCATTATTTCAGCAATGTAATCCCATAAGTCGTCTTGTTCAAGTAACATCAAAGGTTCAGGGACTTTTCTTTCTACCTAAGCACACGCAAACTAGAAGGCACTAGAAAAGCACTTCCATGGAAATGATTTGTAATAGGAGGCTGGTCATAAGCTGTGACACTTAATAATGTTCCATATAAGCTTCTGGGTTGAACAGAAATAGTTTCCTTGCTCGGGGGGATTGCAGGAAACCCAAATCCTGGTGCCCTCCCTCTTCGGTCTGGGAGGTTGTGTAAACACACATTCGGGATCTGGTGAGGGTTTTAAGCCTGGAGGGTTTGATTCCAAGTCTGTCTCAGGTGAATCATCAGCTCACAGATGTGATAACCAGACAGTCTCATCACCGGGAAAAACCCTCAAAGCAGTCGAGCAGCGAGCCAGAACCAGGGGCCAAACTCCACGAAAAACATGGTTGCCAGGCAACTGATAGTCTGTGTCCGCAGAGAAGTTTGCATGGTTGTCATTATAATCTCTATTTTAATCAAATGAGTGTTTAATGCACTTAAGAAGGGACACACAATGAGCTTACACTTTTTAACAATATGTATTAAGCCTTAAATACATGTTTTTACAGCATAGCATCTTGAATTCATGCCTGTTGTAATGCTTGTGGGACTCGTTTGGTAGCACTGCTCTGGAGTCAGCTGTAGTTGTAATTACTTTATGATGTGTTTGTTTCCAGAGATCAATTACAAGGTTGAAGTCCTCAGTGCATGTCACTGTGTTTGAATTATTAGTTTGGATTATAGCAAGCTGACGTCACTCTGTTTCCCGTCTAATGTTGCTGTTCCCCCCGTACTGTAAAAACTCAAATCCCCCTAAAGATCAATAAGTTGTTATTGGTTGTCACAGAGTTATGTAACTTTATGCGTGTCTCTACTGGTAGAGTTCCACTACAATAGTTTGGTAGATAACGTATTTTTCTGTTTGCTGGGAGTTAGATAAGGAGATTTTCTTTTTCTATTCAAGTGGGCTGAATGATTACATCTAATAGCCATACAAACATTTTCTTTCTGTGCACGGAATAAACAAATGCAACATGCAAGATAGGATCAACTTAATTTAGCCCAAAGTAACATTACATGTCAAAATATTCCTACTTCCAAACCAACTTTTGAAATGATGATTTCACAGTCTCTTCTACATGAAGTAAATGAACCTGGTCATTTGTTTAACACGTGTCTGATTGCCTGAGTTATCATGTGTCTTGCCCTACTGGACCATCTTTGAGTACAGTTTTTTAACTTCTGATAGGAATTATGGTTAGCTCATTGATATTTAAACTTAAGTTTCACTGACTGTATGTTTATCAGGTATTTACAAGGGCAATGAACCAACAGGTGCTGAGAAATGAAAGTATTTGCTCCATGAACCTGAAACACATTTGTATTGACTCCACTCTGTCTTCCTCCCCAGACAACACCCCGCTGCGGTCCAGTCTGGTGGCCGAGGCCAATGTGGTGGAGCTGTTCAGAGAGGAGCCGGAGGAGGAGCTGGGCCTGCGCATCGTGGGGGGGAAGGACACGCCGCTGGGGAACATCGTCATCCAGGAGATAGTGCGAGACTCGCTGGCAGCTCGTGACGGCCGACTCGCCCCGGGGGACCACATCCTAGAGGTGAGGGAGTCTAGGATACAAAGTTTTAATCTCCTCTTCATTATGGGATTTGAACATGGTGGCCTAGCGTGACACGGATCACTTACACCCTAACACCCTCGTGCATTCCCATGGTATTGTAAACAAGGTGCCTCAAAGCAGGGAAAGAAAAAGAAGATTTTCAAGGTAAACAAGTTTTGGCCCCGTGGTTTAAGGCGTGGTTAAATACAGGGACAAACATGTCAGTGTAGCTTCACCTGGTTGTTGTTGGTGTCACTGATTGACTTTCAGTTTGAGAGGGTCGTGATGAAGTTATCAAACCCCAGTTGTTAATATGAAACTATAAGATTAGTTATTTGGCTAGTTTTATGCCAATTATTGCTGCAACCAACATATGTTTTTTTATTTTAGATATTTATTTAATGAATGAACATACAGTTTGGTCTATAAGAAATCAGAAAACATTTTCCACACAAATCCAACAGTCCAAATTCACAAATCGTAAACTTTTCTTTTTATCTATAAACCTGGATTCATAACATTTTTGGTGTTTTTGCTATAAAAAAAAAACTCTTAATCGTTTTATCAAGTAATTTTATTTGAAAGATTATCAACTTACCATGGTAACTCTAGTTCTACTATAGTACTCTTTATTTTTTATTTTATTGTATTTATAGAAATGATATTATCTAAACATTGAAGGTCAGTCTCAACACCCTTTGTAAATATCATAGTCATTTATTTCTTACTTTTGAATATGATTCAGGGTTTCCTCAAAGGGGAATGAAAAGCGGAAATATAATAAAATTGATAATAACCACAATTTATAATTGAATAAGTTGCGGTTACCTCTCTTACAACAATATCCTCCTCCTCCTATTTCCTACCCCCGTTCTTCTGGAACACGGTACCGCTGTAAACCGAGATCATGAACTCCCTTCTGGCCCTCTGCTTCAGGCTGCCCTCCAAAATGCTGCTTTCCCTACAAAGAAAACCAATCCCAAACCTGGATATGAAAACAAAAACCCGTCATTCAACAGGCCGCCTCAGGATGTGAAATATTAGCTGCAGTTTTTTTTTTGGCTTTGTGGAAAACTGGTGGATGTAAAGAGATACTGTGACTCAGTCTTTGCCTTTCCCCTTGAGTTGATGCATTGATTTCTCTAAAGACAGATATAAAGGAGACCGATGATAACTTGTTACTATCATTTTCCTGGTTCTTATTTTTCTGATAAAGAAAATACAGTTAAGATCTTGAATACTGATGTTAGAGGGCACTATAGGGAAGTTACTATTTATGACATTATTTATGAACATTATCAGGATAATGGTCAATATTCTCACATGAGCTATTATGGTAGAGAAGTGAAAAGAAGAACCTTGTTTTAAAATTACAGGAATTAAGAGAACAGACTAAAACAACATTGCTATTCTTCTATGTATGTATCCTTTGTAGATAAACCTTATGATTTATTATCACCTTATATAGGATATATATTATACCTATCTGTGATGCAGTACAAATATTTGTATAATACATTTTTTTAGAAAGAGTGATTCCAGAAAGCTTTAGTGCCATTTAAGGAGCTTTAATCACTTTTTGCTGATTATTAGGATAATATCATAACACCTTGAGTTGCATTTATTTTGGCCAAGATAATCATGGCATGAAATGTTCATATGGTCCCGTGCCTGGATGGAAGAACAAGTCACAGTTCCACTTTTTGGCTGACGTTCGCACAGTTCTCTTGAAGGAGAAGCAGCAGAATTAGTTAACCTGTCTTTCTGCTCCAGATAATGTCATGTAACTTTCTATAGTGGCAGCCTCCACGTACAGCGCGTACTGAAATGTGTGTGTTGGCTGATGAGCCCTAACCCTTGTTTCCTCTCTCTCTGGTGTCTTCAGGTGAATGACGTCAGTCTGGCCTCAGTCCCTCACTCCCGGGCCATCGCGGTGTTGCGGCAGCCTTCCGTCCTCCGGCTCACTGTGATGCAGGAGAAAGGTTTCAAAACACGGGATCCACGGTCGGATCATCTCCCTTCCTCTGGCCCCGCCCCCACTGCCTCCCAGCCCTCTCACAGTCCCCATGGCAACACTAACTCCAATCACAACCCCGGCTCCGTCCTGCAGGTGACGCTCGTGAAGAGTCAGCGCAGCGAACCGCTCGGCATCAAACTCATCCGCAAGTCTGACGAGAGCGGGGTCTTCATCCTGGACCTGCTGTCCGGGGGTCTCGCAGCCAAAGACGGGAAACTGAGGAACAACGACAAAGTGCTCGCTATCAACGGACACGACCTGAGGCACGGCACACCTGAGAGCGCTGCCCAGATCATACAGGTGGGTTATACAGCCCCAGAGATAGGGTTTGACTTTAGCCCAGTTACTACAAAGACACACTACATTATCACTGACCATTTTTTTAATGACTCTCAGGCTGAGTTGATTTCAGTATGTATTTAGTTATTGAGTTATAGTTTGAACTCCCTTCTGTCGCTGCATTTCAGCAAGTACAGACCGCTTTTGGTTGATGTTTGTTTATACAAATTCATTGTTTTTTGTTTTTTATCAAATCAAGGCCCAGATAAAAAGATGACAAACAATATGCAAACATGGCGGCTCAGAAAAGGGATTCAAAGGAAAAATCATTTAAAAAAAAGTTGATGTTAATTAAACATGTTTTTCTTTTTTCAAAGAAAGGCACATAAGAGCAAAATGACAACTTTATGACTGAACATTTTATTAATTAGAAAAAAGGGTATAAAATATTAACATTATTAAAAAATCAAATAAAGTGACACAAATGTGTGGTAGTATTGCAAAAGTAAAGTAACAAGAAGTGATCACATTCGACCTAATAGTGTTGATTATGTATTTGCTTTGTCATTAATTGTTTTTTTAAATGTGTGCATTCAGGCGAGTGAGGTGCGTGTGAACTTTGTGGTGATGAGGCCTGCAGAGACTCAGGAGGAGGGGGGGGGGCAGCAGAGAGGGGCACAGCCGAGCAGCCAGGAGGGTCCCGGAGCCACAGTACTTCAGACGCCGCTCCACATACATAAAGGTATACAGAACATTTACACAACATAATGCGTCAGCTACTTTTTATATACATTTTTTTATAGTTTTTAACAGTACAATACTGATCAGCAACCGTTGATTACTGTGGTAGTCAACATGTCTAAGGCCCAGGCTCCACGGGAACGCATACGGCAAAACGCATAGGAGTAACGCAAACGCAATCGCCAAAAAGCTTCCGCCCACACGCAATATACACCGGATTGTGTCAAGCTCCACGAGACGGCTCCGTTTACATCCAACCGCTGGAAAAGCTGCAGTACATATGCCGAGCCTGTACGTGGAGCTGTAACTTCCTCCACAAAAGCAGCAACTTCCTCCACAAAAGCAGCGAAGAAGAATGGTTGTCATGGCTGCACTTCTGTGTATTCTCCGTGGTGGGGGCCGAGGGATCCGGGCAGAGTTTTTCGCCGGTCAACGTGTGTTAAAGTTTAAATCTTCCGGACAAAATTATAAAAGTGCCGGTCAAAGGTCTTCTTTGTTATTTATTGAGCTTTAAAACAAATGAATAACGACGATATAATGATATATAATCATAAAATACACGGAGGCTGTCTCTTTTTCCTCTCTTCTGACAGCGTCAGTGTCTGTCTCATGCAGCAGCTGATCCTGTAATGATGACTCGACAGTAAAAATAAACATATTTATAACTAGTTTAGGTAGTTTGAGAGGTAATTAAAATAGCGAAGGGTGATGATCTGACTTGAAGTGTGTGTTTTGCTCCCGCTGCATCACAGCGGCAGGAGCTGCGTGTCTCCGTCCTGTCAGATTAGACTTCACTCGCGTTTATGTCCATATCGAGATAAAGATAAATAATCTGAATTCAGTGTGCAGTGTACTTTTGCGGGGGTGAGCAGCAGAGGCGGGGGGAGGCGGGGCTATTGCGTCGTCATTATCAGAAACGGATGACCGTATAGGCGACTCCACGGCCCCGTTGGACCCCCCAGAGCGCTCCGTTCCCAGATCTATCCACCTTTGGACCCGTTGTCGTTTGCAGGGTCCGTTTCTACCGTTCCGTTACGGCGTCGTCGAGCTTAAAGGGCTATACGCAAGAGAAATATGCGGATACAACCCGTTTTCGTTCCCGTGAAGCCTAGGCCTAATGGCGCGTTTCCACTACACGGCCTCGCTCGGCCTCGCTCGGTGTGGCTAGGCCTCGTTAGGACTGGCTCACTTTATGGCGCATTTCCATTACAGTTTAGGAACTGGGGTAGTATCTATAGTAACGCAGTGTAGGCGGAGCCGTGACGTCATCTTCAATGAGAACCCCAGAAAAACAACACAGCCGTTAGCTGTTAGCACTCAGAGCTCACAGCTCCTCATATATGTTCAGAAACTAGACAAAAGTTAAACAAGTACAAACCACAGACTGCCTGTGTCATGGCGAATACAGTCGCTGCTTTATTTATGTCTGTATAGGCCGTTGTTGTGAGTGTGGACGGTCGGAGCATATACTGCGTTAGCTTAGCCAATCTCCATTTAGAAAACACGCATTTTAAAAGGTTTTTCGCCTGCCGTCTGTCTGCAGACTTGTCAAAGCATTAATTCATGGTTTTTACTAACCGGTATCAGTATGTTGTTACTTCGGCATCATTTTGAAACGTGTATTACAATTAAATCACGGTCAAATATGTCCATCTTGTTGTAGTTGTAGCCCCCTTGCCAGCGATGCTCTCTCTAGTTTAGCATACTCAGCCCGACTCAGCCTCGGTTGTCTCCTGGCCCTAGACCCACGATTTTATGAGGCCAGAAAAACTGTGAATTAGGACCCGCCGGCCGGTACTAGGCCAAGTGGAAACGCAACCAAAGACGGGCCGCTGACGTCACAGCCCTCTTAAACCGTGCTCCGCGCTGTAGTGGAAACGTGCCATATGTGTCCTTAGGCAAGAAACTCAACCACAAATTCCCCTGTTTACATGTTTAGGTGTTGAAGCGTTGGATAACAACGTCGGCCAAATACCACTTTATAATGTAATCTCGGCCCTTGCCAGCTGTTGGCCCCTGAACTTTCTTTTCCACAACTTAGCACAATATTTTTCTCAGTATTTTCCAAACTTCTCATGTTTCAGTTCACACAGTGTAGTTGTGATTGCTCCTCTGCCAGTCACACTCATGTGTGCCATACACTGTCAGTAGAAAGAATGACAACCCCCCCAGCCGAGGGGTGAGAAGCTTTGAGCCCAGACACCTGCGTCGGTGGAGGAGATGAAAGCGAGGGGCCTCCCTCTGTCCGGATCAAAAGGCCTCGGTGTGCTCCCTCTGCTGCGGGGCCACGCTCTTGTTGTTGTTTGGTTGTTTCTTTGGGCAGCAGAGGATCAAAGCTGGTAACAGTTAGCTTTCGCCTGCAGAGTCGAGCCTTTTCGTCTTGATGGGGGGGATGGGCTCCCTGCTGGGGGGAGGAAGAGCCCCATCCTCCCCCCGGCTTCCCTTCTGATGGTTAACAGACTCCAGAGGGAAACTGGTTGAAGCTGTCACTTTCCACACATCTTACCCACTACGAGAGCCGAGTGTTGATCCTCACACGTCCCCTCGACCCTCACCTCTCAGCTCCTTCTCAAATGCTTCACATTTGTTTCTACGAGTGGTTTTGTGAGAGGAATCAATTAAGTCAAAGGATCCCGGAGAGTCTGAAGTGTGTGTGTGTGTGTGTGTGTTTTGTCATGCAAATTAAGATAAAACCATAATGAGGAAACATGGCATCCTAAACAAGGCCAGCATTACTAAAGAAACTCTATACGATGATGTTGACCAATGTGGTATTCGTTGCATTGTATCTGATTGCTCTATTGTTCCTATAGGATCCTCCAGGAGGGTTTTCCAGCCAGGAGAAGACGGTGAGCATGAAGAAGGAGCCTCGGCTTTCCCTCGGCATCACCATCGCCGGGGGGAGGGACTGTCGGAGCCGTCTACCCGTTTACATCACCAGCGTGCAGCCGGTCGGCTGTCTTCACCGAGATGGCACCATCCAAAGAGGTGTGAATCTGACGTTTAATAAGACTTTTTAGTAAAAGCTTTAGGCCCAATTTGATCTGGGAATGTTATTAATCATGCCGAGCTCTCCACGCAGCTCTCCACTATATTCCGTTTTTTTACTTTTCAGAAGCTGGTAGAGGCAGATCTGTAGCATTTTGGTTTAAAAAAACAACTGAAACAAATGATTATCAAAATAGTTGCAAAATAATTTTCTGTCGAACAGATAATCAATAAATTGACTCTAATGTTAATGTCAGAGGAAGTAGTCTTTGAAAAGAGTGGGGGGCGGTTCAGTCAGTTTAAACTTTGAAACAGAAAAGTAATTGTGTGGGAATATTTGAATAATGACACTGGACTCAGCATCAGCAGGAAACCGTTTATGGGAAACCATTTACAGTTCTGTTTGAAAATCCATCACAATGTGACGACTGACTGAATAGGAAAAGAGCAATTCTCTTTTCACTTACTTCTTTTCAGGGATACAATGTGGACACTTAAATGGAGAGGATGTGTGCTAAAACAGAGGCCTGACCCTCACTAGTTTAGGAGAGGTGCCCGCCTTAGAGAACGTCCAAATTAGGCCGTTTAAATGTGCTAATGCAGGCTTTTCTCTCTCTGTCAGCCCTCTATATACACTTAAACTGCATCTTTCTCCTTTCCAAAATAAAATGTTTTCCCCCTATTTCATTTTAGACCTAGCTTTGTTGATATCCAGTCTTATCCATCTGGTTAAATTGACAACCAAAAAGTTGTCCCTTGATTAAAATGTATCTTTTTTTGAACAAAAATGTCTCAATTTTCACCACATCACGTGTCTCCTCAGGCGACGTTCTGCTGAGCATTAACGGTGTGGATCTGACCCAGCTGACCTACAACGAGGCGGTCTCTGTGCTGAAGGCTCAGACTGCTCAGTCCCAGGTGGCCCTGCGCGTCATCCAGACCCTCTCCGAGAACCCCGACGAGGACAGTGAGGCGAACAAGGACGACATGGACACTATGGAAGACCCGCGAGACGACGCCCTCAACTGGACGCCGCTGTGGACTCGCTGGCTGGGATTACCGAGGTAGAGACTACTTTTTTTTTTATGCGGAACAAACATATTATGTTCCTTTTTTGGTGTGAAAGTTAACTCCAACTCTGCCCTTGTTGTTTCAGTCCCATGCACTGGTGCCGGGACATCGTCTTGCAGAAGACCAACAACGAGAGCTGGGGCTTCAGTATCGTCGGGGGTTACGAGGAGAGCCACGGCCAGCAGCCTTTCTTCATCAAAACCATCGTGCCTGGGACCCCTGCTCACTTCGACGGACGCCTCAAGTGAGTTCAGCTCAATATAACTGCTTCATGACTTGATAGTGTGGAGGTACATTACATACCAAATAATCACAGATTTTAATGCTACAGAAGATACATACAGAAGCTATAAGAAGTGTAAACAGAGCAGACTATCATCAAACCACAAAGATAGTATTTATAAACTCACATGCTCACTATTTATAGATTTGGTGGACTTAAAATAGAACAATTCATGTATAAATTTAAAAATAACATACTTCCATACTGTATCAAGACGTCTTTTTCAAATGACTTGTCAAAGAGGATTCATGCTTTACAAAAAGAATCACAACAAATGCAAAAAGGTTTTGAAAAGGAAATTAAATTTGGTAATGCCAATAATGGATTTAAAATAAAAAATGTGTAATATATATGAGGTATGACCACAGGTATGTATATATGACTTTTAGTTTGGAACATTTGGGTATATATAATAAACATACTGTTCATTGATTTGGTTCTTTCTTTAAGTTTCACTAAACTAAAACAAAATAATGAATATTAAAAGGGGTAAGTGTAATAATGCTTCAGTCTATTCCTTTTCCGTCAGCATGAACTTGCTTTGGTTTGTGACTCTTTCAAAAGCAATGACTTAGTATTGCTTCAATTATATTTAATGTGTAAATCATGTGTTTACGCTGCAAATGCCTGAACTAATGGAACATTACTGGTCTGCTGTTCCCTCCAGGTGCGGTGATGAGATCGTGGCGGTGAACGGCGCCACCACGGTGGGAATGAACAACTCCTCTCTCATCCCCATGCTGAAGCTGCAGAAGAACAAAGTCACTCTGACGGTGGTGTCCTGGCCCGGCAGCCTGGTGTAGAAACACACACACACACACACACACACACACCTGACCATTCACTCTTTCCTCTCCGTCATCTCGTTATTGTTCCACACACACACACACACGCACAGATCCTCGCCCTGCTCAGCTGCATTCTTGACTCACTGTCCCTTCAATATGTAACTCATAGTTATGTAATGTGTGTGTGCTTAGGAACCATTGTGTGTACAAAGGAGATGACTTTCAGTAGCGAGCAGAGTCCTCTCACACCGAGCAGATGATTGCACAAACTAGGTTTAGGGTGAGAAAGTGATGACAATCAGTGAATGATATGCTAAGGACAAACTGGAACTTTGAACACCTTGTTGATCCTTACCTGAATACTTTATCCATTTTGTTCCTTTCTTGTTAAATAATGTTATCATTACATGACTTCTTTCAAATAACAAATGTCGTTTTTACGATATGAGTAGAGAGTTGTGACGACGAATTATAGGTAACTACACAAAACAAGATGTCTGCTGACTGTAAAGACTCATGCCAAAGACAGAACAAGTATCCTGTCCTGTAGCTTTTATAGATTGTATCAACCTTACTACAATGCTCTTTCAAATCGTGCAACAGAATGGGGAAACCCTGATGTAAATGTAAGTAAAGTCAGTCAAAGTGACGTTTAGGATTAAATAAACAGCTGCAACTAGGAAACAGAACTTTGGTTTTAACAGGGAGGGTGTTGAAAAGCCAAAGAAAAGACCTACACTCAATTTGGTTTGACAGCTTATACAGATATACAGAGGCTCTTTAATCCAAATCAGTCATCAGTCAAATCCTACACAGTCCTATATGTAAACAGAACCCTGAACACACCATTCAATCAGAATGACCTTATTGGTAGGAAATGGCTTGGGCCCAAGTTTATTTCCTGTTCGCAGTGGATATTAGCAAATTCTGAAACAGGAAATAAACATTCTTATTGTTTTAAAGCTGAGAGCTGGTCTATAGAAGCAAATCATTCTGTGCTGAATGTTTGGTCTAAATCAAGAGTTTTAGTCTATTAAAAGACATTCAGCAGACATCCATTGAGCATTTCCCTTGCAATGATATAACACTGAATGGCATTGATAAGCGGGAGCCTTTTTAGACATTGAAAGACAAACCAGAATGTGAACCTGCCTTAAATTCCCACTGTACAAAAATGCGTCATTATTTCCTCATTATAAACTGTAAATAGGAATTTCAAAGGAGAAAACGGCCTTGTGAGATACATCTGTGTTACCTCGTTTCTATTTTTATGTCAACACATTCCCAGTGGCCTTTCTTGTGTCTAAATTGAGACAAGACTTATTAAATATTTCAGAATATCGTTTCAGAATTTGTTTTTCAAGTCAGAGTGGCTGCGATATAATGATATATATGTATATAGAGTAGGAAATATATGTATTGGCCTGTACACAATTTCTTTATGTTCAATAAAATCATAACAAATCAGCTTTTGTTTTTCCGTTCATTCTGACTTGTGTCATTGTGTGAAGGCTAAGCAGTCAACAGAAAACTCATCAATGTTGCAAAGAGCTGATGTTTGTTCCAATTCCATAATAGGTATGGAGATCAAAGTATATTTTTTTATATTTGAATGAACTACAGCATGAGTGAAAATGGTTTAAATCACAGACCCAGTCAGAAATGTCCAATAAATGTGCAGTCTGTTCATGGCTCAGTCTGACACCTAGTGGACACAAACTGACTCTTTAAACACGTGCAAAAAAAAGAGACATTTGCTCTGCAGTAATTTAGTCAATTTAAATATGATCAAATGTATTTTTTTAAAGTTTGCACTCCACTTGTAGTTAAAGAAAAACTGGATTACACAAGATATTGGTTGTTGAGAAAGACTGATGAGAATAATGTAGTGTCTGGTTTGTGAAACCTGCATGTGCAAACACACAACATTTACAACCTCTCCTCCAATAAAAGTCACACACTCAATGTGCAAATCATTTGTTAAAAGTAAATGACCGGCGTTTAAAACTACACGAGTTAAAATAATTAAGTATTAGAAACAAAATGTAACTAAAACACCCAGAGAACAAATAGACTTCTGGTTGTATTATCAAACCTAAAACGTAAGTGTGGTAAAAGTACACAATTTTCCTCTGAAATGTAGATTAGTAGAAATAAAGCATCATGTGACTGTCTTCACAAGTTTCTCAGATGTTATTGTTTGAATCCCTTTAAGATGTAGGTGCTACTCTCTTCAGATAAAATCCTTATTGAGTAACATATTAAACTGCTTGGCTGAATCTAGAAGTAGTGGTGGCAGCTTCAGACCTTTGGAGCAGTAGGGCAGTAAAACTTCTGTCCAAACAGGGAAAGGCTGTGAATGTGAAAACAAAAAAACAAAGGACCATAAAACCATCCAGACTGAGGAGTTCGGGGGATGTGGAGAGATAAAGTGAAGACACAGTCCAGTTTCCTCTGACCACTGAGGCCTAACGTTAGAAAGTAGCAGCGTGTTATTGTAAAAGCATCCCTGAGTTTTATAAATGTGTCGGCTAATTGCAGACTGTCTTGTTAAAGTTAACGATTCCACACCTTGTTAAACATGACAAATAGCCACATTTCTGTGGCGGGGCAGCACGCCTCGGTCCATAATGATCTGTTTTTTACAGAGATGACACATCGTTAATTCAGTAAGATGGCAACACACAACAAAATGGTTTCAAATGAAATAAGGAAGCAAAGAAAAGTCAAAATCAACAGTTTATTCTCTCTCTCCGTAGGGATTATGTCACCATGACAAACATTTACAGGAGCTGTAACAGGGACAATACTGGAAGGAGGGTTTTAAATCTCCTTTGTACAAGAGAACAGATTCCACCCTGTCTTCTCTGTGGTTCACCAACTACTCCAGAGGCACTCTAATACGACGCAATGCAGCAATCTGTTAACTAAGATTCAGGAAAATAATACTAACACTGGACAGGAGGACTGAAACAAAAGGAAACATCTGCTCGATACGCCATGAACTGAAGATGTCCTATTTCCCCACACATCGGGAGGAGCAAACACAGCACAGGGAAAAGTATAAAACTATAAAAAAAAAATCATAAAAATTGAGTTTGATGAGTGGAAGAGCTAAGTTTAAATCATGTTCTTCCAACAGAGCTGCAACCATCTCTAGTTTTATTGGATGACAACTCGTTTAGTGTCACCTTTATTGGCAAAAAAACACATGGTAACATGCACTGCTGCGGGGGGGGGGGGGGGGGGACTGACTCTTCAGGATGCATTACAGTCTGAAATCCTGATTTTCTACTGGGCTCAAGTGCAATAAACAGTCCTAAACTCTGGCATCAAAGATTACAACTATATGGCTTACAGGTAAACAGGTCCATATAAACTAGAGAGGTACGTAGACGTCTTTCATTGATCCAAACTATGGTACAGCAATATATTGGCAGAAAAACTAAAGAGCTAAGTAACTTTATGTAAACAATAGTATACAACTGTACATCTTATGCTAACATTATATTTACAGGTCAAGTTTTATACTAGCTAGCTCCCAGGTACAGAGGGTCAAATATAAAGAGAGAACACAAGGTGAGGACGTACACTGTACGCTAGGCAATGTCAGCCATCCCATCTTCTTGCAAAGAACTGGATTCAAACCCAACAATCAGCATTTTAATGGACTGACTTGTTGAGGAACCCAGGGCCTTCCTCCTCCTCCTCCTCTTACATGTTATTTAAAAACAAAAAGGTCATACATAAGGCAAGGACAGTTTGGGAAGGTGGAGGCGTCACATTCTTTGCAAGGGATTACTGATATGATGGATGGGATGAGCTGATGGTTCTTTGGGGTAAATGCACTTTTGGAGAGTTTCACTTATTTGTCACATGTAACAAAAAAACACATCCGAGTGCAACGAAGGGGACATGTCTGGATCTGTCGGGAAAAAGTGCAAAATCTGCTCTAAAGCAAAGTGACAGTGTTGCAAATTCTAATGTACAAGGTACTGGGAGATGTAGGGGGCCGTCAGGAGGGACAGCGGTGCAGACCCTTTTCCAACATACTGTATATACAAGGCACTAAGGAGAAGATTCAAGGGCCACACGTCCAGTCTGTCAACGGCTCCTCAGTCCGGTCTGAATATAGGATATTTGGGTAAGAATTCTATAAGAATCACCTACAGAGGGAGAAATACAAGACAAATCTTATTTTGGACAAGATGTTTATACATAACGGGAATGCTTTTTGAATTGGTCCTGTCGTTTCTTCGGACGTTTGCTTTAATTTAATGTAATTTTGGACTGATTACAAGAATAAATGAGACATGTTGCAGATTGAGTAATCCTATCTCCTAGGAATTATGCCATTCACTTTTTTTGAGAATGTTAAGGATATTTTAGAGCATTATTTATCAATAAATCAATAAAAACAGTTGCTGCTTAATCACTAATATAAATAATACAGTAACTGTTCAATAATTCATAGACAGTTCGTTCGGTCAGCCTACTTACATATTCCATCATATTGCTGCTTTCACATTTTCTTTTACTGAGTTTCCAGTGCAGCCCCAGCTGATGAGAGAAGAAAAGACACAGACACAAAGAGTGACCATCCCTCTCCTTCTCAAACAGACACAAAGACACACACACAAACAAAAGAAAATCTGTCTGAAATCTCCCCTTCAGTGTCGGGGGAATTTGGGATCAGGGCTGTCTGGCCTGGCCGGGGTCAAACTGTGGCCAGACACCCTGAAGAGCTTCCTTTATGCCTCTGCACAGCTACTAGCAGTAATTTGTTGCTGCGAGACAAAACAAAATTAACACGGCATTTTACTGCTGACCTCACGGCCCTCTCAGACCTCCAGCTCCAAATCTGACTCAGCTCTGAGAGACTCGCGTGGCAGGTTAGAGTTTCCAAAACAGATTAATGGCCATTATCCGTCACGATGATACTCAACTTGCGCTGCTCACTGACACGGACACTTAAGCACTTTCACACAGGTGCTAAAGTGCAATCTGTCATCCTCACCTTGTGGTATAACCGGTTATTTTCCCACTCTAGCAACTTATGAATGGATCGTCTTGTCTGTAGGAAAAGAGAACACATATGTGTATGTTAATGCGAGCAAATGTAATACTTTACAGGTATCAGTAAACCACCACAGTGTCAGGATTTATGGACTACACTCCTGATTTACCAGCTAGTAATTTCCACTTTGTTGCCATTAAATGTGAGTGGTAACACCACCTTTAAATGACACACCCTTGAACAGAGCAGGAGAGGAGCTGTGCAGTGCAATGTGTCATTTCTACACAGAGCCACTAATTGAACAGGAGTTGTTATTACCCTCTACACTCGGACCAATGCGGCTGAATTGCTATAACAGCCCCTGAGTAATCAGCGCTGATGTAAGGGAGAGTTAAACTGTCCGACTGGTGTCACAGGAGGTCTGGGACTCACTCTCTTGTTGAGGCAGATAACAGGCCACAGACTGCAGCCTACTGTACAGCAGCAGCACAGGCAGCCGCAGAGAAGCCACTTCACATTCACAGGCAAGTTCTTCTTCAAGCAGGCGTTCACCCTGGTGATGCTGGTTTTGAATTCCTCTGGCGCAACCTAAAAAAAGAAGAAGAAGAAAGATTGTATGTGTGCATACCAAAATATACTCCTAGAGGCTCTATGTAGTTGGGGGGGTTTATCAGACAATTGAAGCAATAACCTAATTACTAAGTGCAAGAGGGGGAGAGAAGTGTTTGTAGGTGGTGCTGACTAATTGCTCAAAAGAAAATCTGTTCACAAAGATCAAAGAGCTTTAGAAAAACTAACAGGTAGATATTTGCAGATGTTGTTCAGAGATGAGATCTCTAAAGACTATGCCTCTGATTTGCTAACCTAGCTCCAGACTGTTCAAGGCAAGGAGGGACTCAAAGGAGAGATAAGCTCAGTGCCTGTGGCTGCGCCGGCCAAACAACTTGAATGGATGCTCATTCCTCGCTGAGTCTGTACGCCATAAAACAGGGGTCGTAATCTTTTATGACAGGATGCAAAGGTCTCTTTGCAAATAGCCAAAGACCTCAGAATAAAGCCCAGCAGGGCCTGATCTGCAACCTTCAATCATCATAATTGTGACCTCATCCATCACATGTCACCCTGGGTCACAATACTGAAGGTACTTTTTATTGCACCACACTTCCCTCAGCCTGCTCTTACCCCTGCAGCCTTTTTGTGTTTCTGCGTCCGACCCAGGAAGCTTTCCTTTCTTGTCTACGGCCGAGTCTTCATTTCATTATTTTATCACCGGGAGCTGGACCCTCCAAAACACTGGGGTCCCTGCCAACTGATCCCCATAGACGGCTTACTCATTTACAGAGCCGGACAGCAGCACATTCAGGCTCTTTTCTATACACTGTGGTGCGTTACTTGAAATGCAGCTCGGTCAGATCAAAACCACTCGGGGAGGTTTGAATGGGGCAGTTTGGGGAAGTTGGGGCAGTTAAAGGCCCAAAAGAACAATTGGATCACTGTGGCTTTAATTGCTTTTCAAATTCTTTCTACTTGGAATTGAACACAAAGCAGCCTGCAGGAATGAAGTGCAAGAAACTGAAAAAGCAACTGTACCTTTCCCGTGAGAACAGAGGGAAACTCCGTGTCAAATCTGTTGCTCAGTCCAAACCTGGAAATAAGAACACAATATGCTATTAAAAGGAACATAAGAACAAAAATAGTCCAGAGAAAAATATATTTAGTTTGACACATGATGAGACTTAACGTGCTTATTCACAAACTACACAGTAATAGTTGGCATTATGAGGAGTGGTACATGAAATCACCCACACATACACATGGGTGGCAGAGTCCAGATGAGTAAGCAAGGACTTACAACCTTCCCCAAAAACATTTACAATTTATAACTAGGAGGATGGGCTTTCAAGCTTTCTATAAGATGTCAGACTCTAACTTATTAATACGTGGGCATACTATCCACATATTTATCAAAAGTTGTCCTTTCCAACTGGAATAAAATTGGAACAATATATAATATATTGAAACACCAACAATGGCCAGGGATAATCTCTGTTGGTCTGTTGGATATATTGTAGTATATTGTATTTAACTTCGCCAGAATATTTCCTCATGTTGGTCTTTCCTGGAAAAGTCAAAGCTCAACTATAACTTCGTGAAAGGTAACAGATAGTGTTGGGTTTTAAAATGTATATCCCCACTTTATGTCTAAAAATCCAACTTAAAGAAATGTTGCAAGCTGGGAATCTGCTAGTCAGGTTAAAGCTGTGGCTGATATTTTGATGAGAATGACAGTAATGAACCTTTTTTTGGCTTGTGGACTTTTGTTATGAATAAAACTCACTTAATACAACATATTGGACGACTAGCTTTACTTTTCACCCTGTAGAAGTTTAAATGTTGGTCAATTAGCTGAAATACCCACGTAAACAATAATGAAACCTGCAAAAAAGGCCACTTTAGACAATACTTCAGTCGGTGATTTTGTGTTGACTTTAAAGATAAATTATTATGTCCAGTAATGATGTTTTAGTCTCGGTAAAATAAACATTACAGCCACAGATTTGTAGCTAACGGTTCCCCACATGTAAACTTCCTAACTCATCTCAGTTTAACTCATCAAAATCGGTTGCTAGTCTACCACATTCATGGTTGCCATGGGGATATATGACTGTTACCGTTGGTTTACGTGTGAATATTGTTAAAACCAACGGTCCCCTTGAACAAGCCCTTTGCTAACTGTTGTTGTGTTTGGCGTTAGCTAGCAGGCTAGCATGAGCTAACCAGGCTAAAGGATGAAGAAACCAAAACAACAAAGCGTCCCCGCGGACAGACCGGAGCGACGAACAAGGCTCTGCTTACACTGTGATGTGTCCGGCCCCTCGCATCACCACGGGCTCCAGACAGTATCTGGGCAAGTGTTCCTCACTCACTACCTGCTCATCCTCTTCGTCTTCCAACTCATAAATGGTATCAAAGTCCGCCATGTTGGGTAGTAAGACGCTCATGACGTCTGCGGCGGAGGGGCTGCGCGCTGACGTACGAGCCTGCGCGCTGAGCCGGAGTTTATGGAAAGTAATGATCGCCCCTCAGAGGGGACCAGAGATGATTTATCACCAAAACTAACATATGACATCTGTGACACATGGCTTGCATATATAATAGATGGTAGTAGAGTCTATTCCCATCAAATATTAACTGTTTGTAACATAATGGAAATAATAAAGGGCATATATTAAACGTGTTAACATGTTTATTATCATCAGGGAATACACTTCTTAAAGACGTGGACAGTCAAAGCGAAGAAAGTCAGTCTAGCCACCTTCCAATTAACATGTCACTTGTACTAATTGCACATTTTAAACCAATAACTCTGAGCCAGCCTCACTTTAAGCAGCCAAAAACACACCTATGGCTATGTTCAAATGTTTTAGTCTATAATTAGATTTAAATTCCCTGTCATTGAATGCTAAATGAAAGTCCACCCACTGATGACATAATGCCTTTTTTTAGGTGTTAAAAGACGTATATTATATTTAACAAGAGTTAGATTTAATAAAATAGGCTTACCATTAACCACCATAATGTTGATTGCTTTATTCGTTTGTGGACACTTTTACTGTTTGGGGAAGTAACGTGTGGGCCATGTTGCAGACTATGAACCAGCATTAAAGGTGTCGGTAAAGAAGGGTAATTAGAAAGTCTGGTATTGCGCTTTTTCTTGGATTACACAGTCTATTCAGGCTTTGCATAATAGCCAAATTAAAAATAAATGCATTGAGTTGACATGTGCATTTACTCACGGTTGTAAATACAGTTTTGGAAAGAGATAGCCAATTGTTGCAATTTTCTTTTGCACAATTACATCACATTTTCAAATAGGCAAAGTAATACATTACATCTTGCTTACAGTTATTTTGAGGATGAACTTGTATCTGAATTTGTAACTTGCAACAATATGAAGTATAGCCTATAAGCCGATGGAGGAAAATGGCTTGCATGCTGTAGATCTGTAAAATACTTGGCTACTCAAGAAAAATGTAAAATAAAAAAACGTAATGCAATGGTTATTCAAAAGTTAGCAATATTCAGAAATAATAGAAATGACAGGTGTACTGTAAAACAACATTTTATTTACATTTTGCCATGAAACGACCGTTCTACCCGTATCATTAACAGCTGTTCCCTGCTTTAAAGCGGATAATATTGTGCTGAAAACGTGTAAATGATTTGTCAATTCAAAGCCGTTTGCATGGCGAGCTACATACAATCCAGTTTAAAAACTTCATTAAAATGTCCCTGAATTCTCATTTTATTCACATACACTTCTTCACATACAAAAAACGATATTTATATCTTATTAACTCACAAACAAATTTAAAGCTTTTAAGTTTGAAACACGTCGATTTTTTAGTTTTTTTTTTTTAAATCCCCACGTTATTATAACTATTCTATATTTTTTTTAAAAAGCAATATTTCAAGAGCCTCCAGTATTTCGTTGTTATAAATGAAATCTTTATCCACAGCTTGGTGCTTCAGGACGTGAGTTCAGATCCAAGTGTCCTGTCAGCGTGTCGGAGTGCTCAGTTTTGTTACATGGTCCGGAGTGAACTGTTACAGATTCACAGTCACTTGCTGTATATTCCTGATAGATGACATGTTCATTCCCGGAGGAGGGTACATAGAGTTGTGGATGTCCGAGGGACTGAGCGAGCCCGGCACCGGCAGAGGGCTCACTGATCCCGGGTCACTGTGCACAGACCCCCCGCTGCCGTCAGACTGGCCCAGCTTCTTCTTGATCATTTTCCTCTCCTTGGCTCTGCGGTTCTGAAACCAGATTTTTACCTGAAAATAGGCGTAAAGAAAATCAGATTTAGTTTACATTTTTGGCGTGGGCAACTTCGTATTTATTTGTATAATGACTTAGAAAAATGAACATTGAATAGCCTATAGGCTATATTTTAAGGTCAATTTTGTATGCAGAACTTAAAGGTAGGGTAGGTAAGAATGGAGAAACCAGCTCGAGTAAGCTAGAATTTGAAATTACACAACCGAAACAAATCTGCCAGACTTCCTTACAGATCCCCTCCTCCAACACACACGAACGCGCACATGACCTATGAGGGCACGAGATAAGTTTGTGCACGAGATGGAAGGCTGACAGGCAGGTAGGCCATCCAATTATCTGCCGCGGGCCGAGGCAGATAATTGGACCTACTTTTTACAGCGCCACGGCTTCCACAGATGAAATATTTGTATATATTTATTGTCAAAGCATTTAATGTATTCATTGCTATCGGGATGTTAAGAGCATTCAATATAACAAAAAGGGTTTCTGAAGTGAATTACCTATATCCTACCTTTAAAAGCAGAACATACCAATACTGAACTAATAAAAACATATATTAACTCGTTAAATATACATGCCATTTATTACTAATCCAAAATAAAGTAATAAAATGCCAAATGACAGATGGATATGACACTTAAATATAGTACATATGCCTAGGCTATAATGAAAAGGCCTATATTTCACATTCCATTCGTCATTATCTTCTCTGAACATCCTGAAAAACTGTGAATTTTAAAAATAAAGATCAATACAATGTTGTAATTAAGGATTCGATTATATCATGAAATATAAAATAATTAGAAATATATAACAAAAGCCAATTTATCCGGCATTATGGTATCTTTAAATATATTCAAAGCAAATGTATTTTGGTCTAATAATGTAAATAAGGTACCCAATATGTTAATGATAATATTGACTTTAGGCCTCACTTTTTAAGGTGAAAACAAGCCTACATTTGTATGTGCTGTCCATTAATGCTCATACAGATTTCATACATGCCATTTATACATTTTAACACAAATTGCAGTAAAATAAAGCAAGCAGATGTATTTAATTCTGATATAAACATACCTGTCTTTCCGATAGACCGAGGTTGACAGCCAGCTCAGATTTCCTCCTGATGGTGATGTATCTGTTGAAATGAAACTCCTTCTCCAGCTCCAGCCTCTGATGGTCTGTGTAAACTACCCTGTATTTCTCCTTCGTTCTTGTTTTACCTGCAAAGGTGACCAAAACAAAACAGCGTTAACATTTGGTTGTTTTCTTTTTTGTTTAGCAGCCAGGCTGTTAAACTGGAAGATTTACACAGAGGAGGCTGCATGCCAGGACCGGCCTATCTGCACATAGCATCTTTATTAGCTGCCTCTTAAATCCACATCTCTCTGCTTTCTCTTCAGATACGCAAATTGAGCCTTTTCATCTTGCTTTGATGACAACTGTAGTACAGTGCATTTCAAACCCCCAGCGATCAGATCTTCTGCTGACAAGTTAAAAAGAAACGCACTACACAAGAGAGAAGACAAACATCTGAAGCGACTTCACAAATAGTGCATTGGTGGATTTGTTTTACAGGCCTGTTAAAGCACTGTCAACTTTTGTATGTATGCAAGTTAAACAAAATGGCTGACTATTTCAAATTCGAAAAAAAGATGGACATCTATATTCCCACAATAGACTATGGGCCAAATTCATTTAATGGATTTAAATAAGCTGGTCTGTTTTATTCTAGGCCTTCAAAATGAACGAATATTACATCTGTAATTCACGCCACTTTAAAGGCCTACAGTTTGTACTACTCCATGTTTCAGACGCAGGCTGTGAAAAACGTCACTCTTTCCGGTAATATAACTCTTGGAGAGGAAGGGAGGTTGGTGCATATCAAAGTGAAGAGGTGTTGAAAGCAAAGGCCACCGCCTGGATATGACGGAAAACACTCCAAACACCAAACAATGTGACAGGGAAGTCGACCTCACATCTCCAGGAATAATGACATTAACATCACAACTGGGCCTGGCGCCGATTCCTCACACCTTTTTATTTCCACCACAGAGCAGCAAACAGTAGAGTGAGCTGCTGGCATTTATACTTTTCAGAATTATTAGATATAGAAAATATCTAATAATTGTCTGCTGCGTGTCCCATGCAAATGCGTTATTATATTGCATATTCAATACAAACTTTAAATATTCTCATTCTGGGTATTCTGTTACATTTAAGTAGCCAGCATTAGGCAAGTGTCAAAAGACCAGGCTTTTCTGCCTTCCATTTCTGCCGAGTTTTTACGCACCGTCTCCTTTTGCCATTTCCTTCCAAATATAATCACTTTCGTTCAACTGATGCTTAGTTTCTGTTTTAAAGTAATACATTCAATAGGAAAATGTATTTAAAAAGACAAGGCAATGTCAAACAACTCGAACAGAAACACAAAACTTGAGTACGTAAAAGGTTACTGTTGCAAAAACCAAGACAATCGCATAAACCAAGTGTGGCACAATGTTAAAATTACTGACCTGTAGATGATGATTGCGCAGTTTTACTCATCCACTGGAATGAATTGCGTCTTTCTCTATCAGGAGAAAGCTGTGCAACATTAACGTTTTCCGGCGGCGGCTGTAACACCGCAGATCCCGGAGGGTGCATGTGACTGTACTCGGATGAGCAGTAGGGAACCTGTACGGGAGAGGAGTTGTTCATGGGTGCGGGGATAGTATTAGGTGGTCCCAGGCTGTATGCACCCCAGTCTTCCCGTGGAGCTCCATAAGTGGCTCCCCAACTCCCCGCAGACTGTGCGTGCGTTTCCATGTTTGGCACATGATGGTATCCAGTAAAGTCTGGGTACTGAGGTGTAGAAACAAAGTTCTGTGGAGGCATATTGATGCTTGATCTTCTTACTGGCCCTTGGTGATACATGCCAGTTTCTTTATCCAAAATGTATCCCACATACATGATTTGTACAAAAAAGAATTAAATATGATCACAACAGCAAAAGGGAAGATGCAACCGATTTCAAGGCAACATTGTAGCCCTGAAAACTGTTAAAAACAATCCGTCTGCTGTTTTTATAGTCCAGGTTCCCAGTGTGAAATGCGACGTAGTTCCAGTCTGTCTCCAGTCTCACATGATGTGTCTCTGTTGACAAGATGGTAAAGGTATTACTAAGGCCGGCCTGACGTCAGCCAACCCCTCAACTCTTGGCGATTTGCATTCAAATGAAAGTGACCGGTGCTGCTGGCTCAGCTGTCCCCTTGCGCCTGTCCTGTAGCGCGTCATCACCTGATAGTGGGCCTATCGCGAGCAGGAGCTCTGCACTCCGTGAATACATTAACACCACGGCCTATCAGCTGCACATGCTGCACAGACCCGCAATAAACCGAGGCAACACGTCCACAAACGCACCAAGCAAAAAAAGGCCTGTGCGTAATTGCGCACAGATTGATTTGTATTACATTGGAAGCATTCCTTTTCTAGAAAAAAATAATGGTGTCAGAGCCTGTTATATTATAACAGATTATATATACCACACGTTATTTTGCACGTTATGTCATAAAGTTGTATATTTCTATATTAAAAAAACAACAAGTAGCCTATAATTGCTTATGCGTAAAACTCTTATTCAACAGTTTCTATCCACGCTTCACGCCCAAATCCCGTTTTTATTTGTTAAGAGATTCACTTGCAAACGAGGTGCAAAGTATGAGAGACCTTTTTCTTGAAGCAAGCCGGACCTTTCGTATTCCGTGTTCACACCTCAAGGTCGCACTTCACAGCTAATTCCGGTTACAAGGAAACTCCAACAACCCCCTCTGTGACAAACAGCGGCCTCGACACATCAGTCACCGCCGTCTCCTGAAGTTAAAGTGAATTTATTTTTACTGTGATCGTGTCTAATACGTGTCAGACGGCTCAGGGCATTGAGTTAAAAATCTAAAATACGCTTTTGGACACAGTCACTCAGTTCCTTTGAAGTTTGTACATGCCACTTTCTCGCTGCAAGCATGCACTAAAAACTCAATTAATTCAGGTCACATTCAGTTTATGAAACCACTAAATCACTGAGCATTGTTCTGAAATGTTAAAGACTAATTTAACAATGCATTATTTTTTTAAATAACTCAATTTGAGGCCTTAGTAGTCTAAGCTTTACTCTTGTGCACCTATTCATCATTATAGCCTGATCACAACATTTAAGGAGCAAACACTTCTTCTACTTCTTATTTCTTTATATGTTTATGATTTATTTGGCAGGTGTCTGATTTAGCAGAGCTGACCAATTGGCTTGTCTATAAGTCATACATGCTGATGGATGTCCCTGAGTCTGACACAACTTTTTATTGACAACAAAATGTGGGAGAGACAGTCTATTCGATTTGCTCTGCCAGTCACAGTCTGATGTGTATGTGTGACTGTGAGTCAGCTGTCTGTTTAAAGACATATCAAGTATGACACAGTCTTGTTGGGAGGCTTTAACAGAGACTTTTTTACAATGAGCAATGTAAAGCTGTCACAATAACTACTACAAACAAGCTAGAGAAACAATGTGTCTCTCAGAGGAGCATACACTAAAAGGAAACTACTTGTGTGCTCAACGTAAAGAGTTTCCTCTCAGGCCTCAGGGTGATGTATAACACTTTATGCACAAAGATCTTTTGAACAATTTACCTGTTTTTCACATTCAGCATTATAAATCTTGAGCGTTTTTTTCTTCTAAAACGGCTCTCATTAAGGGGTTTCATGCATAGACTTTCATCTCTACACTGTACTGTATTTGATCTCAGAGTACTCAGTTCTGTCTTGCTGTTTCCACAGTGTGTGGCTTGTTCAGATTCATTGCTGCCCTCTTGTGGATGTCTGTAGAACTACCGCTGCTGTCCTGATCGTTGTGATCAGTCTGATTGCATTAGTGGTGGAAACTAAATAACTAAATAAGTTACTAACTAACTCACTTACATACTTACTAAATAAACATACTCAAGTGCTGTACTTAAGTATACGTTTCAGATAATTGTACTTTAATTGAGTATTTCCCTCTTCTGCTACTTTAGATGGAGGCATGTGGCGCAGTGGATAGAGCCTTGGTGTTGGGATCAGGGGGTCACAGGTTCAAACCCCACTGCAGTCAGCATGTCGTTGTGTCCCTGGGCAAGACACTTCACCCCAAATTGCTCCTGTGGGGATTGTCCACAGTATTGAGTATGTAAGTCGCTTTGGATAAAAGCGTCTAACAAGTGACATGTATATACATACTTCTACATGTACCATTCAGAGGCAAATATCAGATATCGTAATGTTAATAACACCAAACATATTCAACAAAATAGGTTTACAATTTTTTTTTTAAAGTGTTACAAAGTTATTAGAATGGGCTGCTGCAATAAATTCATGTATACATTAATGCATCAATAATTATAATCCAATAATGTATTTCATACTTGTGAAATGGGAAAATCTGTATTTGAAGTGACATAAATCAATTGTTTAAAGAGTATTTCAAACGGTAGTATAACCTTTAACCTTTATAAAAATCTGGGTACCTCTTCCATCACTGCTCACCTCTAGAGGGCGGTCACCACCAACACAAATATAATATTTAAAGATTTCTACCATATTGTACACCCCATTTAGATAACTACAGCAACTGCGTTCTGTATAACAAGTCACTGTGATAATAACATGTTAAATCCACAAGAGAAACCAGCTGACAGAACTATCTTGATTAAATATGAGAATGTGATTAGGAAATAGGAAACAGTCAACCTAATGAGTAATGAGAGGAGGTGTGATTACTCATAATTTAATCACATGGCATTTAATTGTAGGATATCTCAAACCACATGATTGCATGAACACAGCAGTGATTGAGAAACATAATGCTCCTGTATGGCTGCTGTCATGTTCCCCTGTTACTCAGACTCACATCTGTTCCCATTAATGACTGCATCCTTTTTAGTCAAATGTTCAACAAGAAGAGACAGATTCAGAGTTACAGATAAAATTACGCACAGCGGTGGTGGAAGAATTTTAATGTAAAAACCTTTCTTATCAGGGTGTAGAATGTGTTGTCTATATCAAAACGCATCCCAATTCAAATAATGTGGCAAATCAGGTTTGTGGTGCCTTAGGTTTGGATGAAGCAGTCAATTCCCTCCATGAAAAAAACTGCATGTGTTCACTAGATGGCGCAAATGAGTTAGTTATGCACTGTCTCAGGTTCTCTGGTGAATGTGCAGGAACATGTGATGGATAGTAACAAAGTACATTTACAGTACTGTACTTAAGTACAATTTTGAGGTACTTTTACTTTACCTGAGTATTCTCAGATTATGCTACTTTATACTTCTACTCCAGTACATTTTAGGAGCCAATATTGTACTTTTTATTCCACTGCATGTATTTGACAGCTTTTGTTACTCGCTACTTTTTAGGTTTAGAATAATAGATCATTCATAATATAAATCAATTATTAAATAAACTTTGGCATACATGTATAGGTTCAGATATCCAGCAGCAGTTTATAAAGTTATTCAAATTAGCTCTACAATTACCAGTTGGGATAAAACACATCAATATTCATAAAAGTAACCCAGTAACTCAATAAATGTACAATTCTGAAATAAGGAGTACTTTTACTTTCGGTACTTTGAGTATACATTTTGCTGCCAATACTTTTGTACATTTACTTTTGTACAAATTTGAATGCAGGACTTTTACTTGTAACAAAGTACTTTTAAATTGTAGTATTGCTACTTTTAGTTAAGTAACACATCTGAGTACTTCTTCCACCACTGCTTGGAACCGAAGGACAAAATACAGTATTCAGTCAATTGAGTAGATGGATGGATGGAAGGACAGACAAAGCAACACATATATGCTAAGTGAGAGGGATACATCCCATGAAACAAAATCAAATAAATGATTATGTGTCAAAAAAGTATGTCAAGTACGTGTTTGGCCAGCAGTTTCTTTGTCCTCAGAGTATGTAAGGATGCACAGATGTACAGCTTGATGCATGTATAGCTTACAGAGTGCATTGCAAGAGATTGATAAGGTGACTGTGAGAGTATCCAGGATATGTTCCAGGGTCATTCTGGGTTTTCTGTTTCAGACTCAACAACTGATACAAGTTAAATGTGATCGAATATGCACTTCTGTTTAAATATCCATTACAAAAAATAAGGACCTCCTATCTGGTTGGTCTTAAAAGCTGTGGTTTAAAATGAATTAGGTCTCACCACAATGTCCATATTTCCATAAGTCTATAACTCATATATCCTTCGATTAGTCCTGGGCGGCCATTTGCACGTAACGCCTCTTGCCCCTCTTACAACCAACCAAACACATCCTCCTAAACCTGCCGCTCTATTTAAGCCTCAGATTAGCCTGCCTCTGCATCGCTAATGCTGCTGCTACTTCCACTTTTCTGTTGCTCGCCCACCCCCCCACCCCCCCCCACCATCCACCTGTAGGCTCGTGGGCGATAGTTATCTAATCATCACTCAATGTTCTATGTCAATCTGTGGAGTGATGAGGCCCGAGCCTAGACGCCAAACTCAAACTATATGCTGCTTCTAATAAACATATCAAATAAACACATGAGTTGTCTGACTGAAATGTGATAATGGATATCCATGTGTGTGTTTTTCTCACTAAAATGTCTTCTTGAAGTACAGATGAACTAAAGTCTCTTCTTTCCCTGAGCTCAGCAGAGTGAACACGGAGTGGATCAGTGACAGTCAGCCCAGGAATTCAGTTTGTTGCATAACTCCATTGATGTTTTTCAAGTGGCCACAGCGTTTCTCTGCAGGAAAGAGGTAAAACAGGACCATCTGTTACTATTTTTAGAGAATCTGACACCGAGGCACGATCCTACATTTGTCATCTTAAATGCAAAACACATGTGGGTTACAGCAAACACAAATCATGTACAAGTGTTTTAATTGATTCATTCA